GACTAGTATTATTTGGATAGCTTACTTTTTAATCTTCTATGTACCTATTGACTACATTCTATTTAGAATGCACTTTTTTCCAATGGAGTCATGCATATTTAGGGTAAAAAAAATACAAAGTGAAATGGACACTTACTGAACTAAAATTTTTTTTCTAAACTGAAGCTTTTGTGTTGCTTTTTGCTTGTAACTGCATCATGTGTCTCCCTCTACAGGTAAGAGTAGATAATTGTGCTAGTTTCATTGCTTGGATAGAAGATCTTATATTTTCCAAAGTCAAAGGCCAAAAGTCCTTTGCCTATCTTTATGCCTCCGGTGTATAATTAGTAGATGTAATCAAAATAGCTCTAACTCTAAAAATATGTCCAGTGAGAAACTGGGACAAGATAATTTCTCATTTTCAAACCCATGTACAAATAATCCAATTATATATCTATTATTCAGAAATTAATATTCTTTAATACTTCTTTTAGTTTTTCTAAAACATACTTCTGTGGTGCATATAAAGATTGCCCTAATCTGGTAGGTTATTTTATTTTATCGGGTGTAAGAAGTACACTAGACTTGGAAAAAGGAACAACATATCACTAAATTGCATCTTCTCTAAGTCTCAGTTTTTTCACCTTTAAAATACAGACATTTAATACACTTTTTTGAGTTACATTCTTGCATTGATAATCTTCAAATTAAAGACAATTAAATAAAGAGGTTAAAAATATGAAATGCAGAAACATACTGAAAACGACATTGTGACAACATGACAAGGTTTCATTAGGTGGCTGCAGGGTACTTTCCTTATGTAAACACTTTGAAAATGAAATGCTCACAAGGACTGATTGTGCCCCAAATGACATGACTGTACTTCAAAAATAGGGGATCACTGTCGCAATACAGTATGGCTTGGGCATGTCTGACTCTTTGCCGCCCTCTCATGTTTCAATACGCTCTTTAGTTCTGGGACACACTGCATGCTAGAACCTATGCAGAGATTACTAGAGATGTCCTGCTATGAGAGTGTGAAAGCAAAATCACTAATGAAATGAAACAGAGAAGCTGATACATTAGCAAAGTCCATTCTCCACTAGTTTTAAAATTAGCTTTAGGAACAAAACATTTCAGGCAGGGGGCAGGGTTGTTGGAAGAAACCACTTGGTGAGTTACTCATCACCTGCTGAACTCTCTCCTGGAAATAACTTATCTTCTTGAATTCCTGCCACAGTCCTGGGAGTTAGATACTCCAATCTCCATTCGTCAGATGAGAAAATAAAACAGGAGACAGTTTGCACTCAGGCTGCAACTGTCACACATCATGTTTTTGTCACATTGTGTCAAAGAGTAAAATAGCTATTTAGTAGAAAGTTTCTTTTATAAATGTACATTCCACAGCCTGATTTAAAGACTTGGTAGATTCTTTTAGATCTATGTGTTGATCTATTACATATGGAAATAAAAACTATATAGCAAGTGACTAACATGCTAATCATAACATACCCTAATCACATAAAATCAAACTTTCCTGGCTTTAACACATGTCAAATGGAATAACCTTGGAGGGCAGAAAAGGGTATTGCCAGTTCTATGGGAGAAAAATCGTAGTAAGCATGGTATAAATTACATAGAAATTTGAAGTTTTTTCACTCTTTTTAAAAAATAACTTAAAACTGGTTTATAAAAAAATTATAATTTTTTTCCTTCAAAGAATATGAATCAAAAGGAAGTTCTTAGACTTTGAACATCATCTTGAACAACAGTTTATCACTTCTATCACAAAGGCACCAGCATCTGTGACTGTAATGATAGTACAGGAGACAGTGCTGGGAGGTATAGAGACCCCACTGTGATGGGCACAAAGAAAGGTGTCCATTTTGACCAGTCTGGAAGGACTCACACATTTCATTCTTATAATCCTGCAAGTTTGTCTTTCTCTCACTGCTCCCTTTCCTTCTCTTATCTCTTTGGCCTGTTCTTTCCATCACCCTTGTTATGGAATAAACGTTTGTGTGCCCCTAAAATCATAAGGAATCCTAACCCCCATGTGATGGTATTAGGAGCTCAGGTATTTGAGAGGTGATTAGGTCATGGGGGTAGAGCTCTCATGAATGGAATTAGTGTCCTTACAAAGAAACTTAATCTCTCCCTTCCTTCTGCATTGTGAGGATATAATGAGAAAACAGCAGACTGCAACCCAGAAGAGGGCCTTCATCAGAACCAGACCATGCTGGCACCCTGATCCCAGACTTCTATCCTCCAGAACTGTGAGAAAGTTATGTTGCTTACAGGTCTCTGGTATTTTGTGACAGCAGCCTGAACTGACTGAGATACCTCTAGTTCTATGTACAGGAAGGGCTCTGGAAACAAAATCAAATCATAACAATAAAACGAAATTTAAAAAGATGTATTGAGTGCTGGTTCTGTGAGGCACTATGCCAAGAGTGCCACATGTTAGCTCATTCAACCCAGCAACCACTGTTTGAAACAGTATCACCATTTTACAGATGAAGAAACTAAGCAGAAAAAGGGTATGCAACCTACCCAAGGTCACAGAGCTATCGTGACGGAACATGCTTTGAGTTCTGAACAGGCGGAGCAACCAGGTGGTACAATTCTAGGGCACCACCTCCTGTTGTTCCACAGAGTTGCTCTCTGCAGGTGCCTGGAGCTGTGCATCCCAGCAGCCTTTTGGGCTGTACTGTTTGTTGGAGACCTTAAAAAAATGACTCAGAAGGCCATGTTCCTCTTAAAGGGTGCCCCACTGACTCTTTTGAACCCTTTCCTTCCTTCCCAAAACAGCTGCAGAGGCAAAGCCCGGTTTCAACAGACAGCAAGTCAAGTAAGCCTGGAGGATGAGGCCTGAGCAGCCCACCACCTGAGGAGGGAAGACACACACTGCCTTTTCTGAGGATCTCATGTGTCACTGTTACCAAAGTCTCAACCACCGTTATTATTAGTAGTAGATAATACTTTACTTTCCCCTGCTACTGCCCTCAACCTCCTACTCTCATGGGTCCCATGTTTCCACCTTGGTTTGCTGTGCTTGGGCAAGAAAAGAAACTTCCCATCCTTAGTCAGTTAATTTCCTGTTGTGCTTTGTGATGAGCCCAGCTGCGCTAAGCAGTTAATGACAGTTAATTAGTTTCCCTCAGAAAGAGTATTTTTGTAGTCCCACTGTCACTAGGTCTCAGGTCAGGAGCTTATGGGTACAAGTGAGACCATATTAGCCTTCATTTCTCCATTGCAGTGGCTCCAGGGCCTCAATAATATGCAAAAAAACTGAGGGAGCTTCTGTGGGTTCTCTTATGCGTGTTTAAGACCAAGTCTGTGCCCTATGAGTGCAGCCACTTTCCTGTTAATCTGTGCTAGTCATCTGCCCCGACCACTGAGTACCCAACCATCTCTTGTTGGACATTAACAATCTTCCCAGGCACCTGAGGTGGCTCTTCTAGAAGACTGCTGTTCCACCTGTGAGGTCAATGCACATATGACCACAAGCTGAAAATACTTTTGGGGACCAAAACAGCACTGCATGCTGCTCAAACCACAATGTCAATCTTGTTTATTGCAAACATGGAGTGGGGAAGTCCCTCTTCATAGAGGTCAGACCTAGCAACCAGAGCAGGACTGGGGACCAGGTTCCATGTGGTTTCCTTCACCAGAGGTCTCAAGACACATGCTCACAAAAGTAGACCTATTTATCCCCCAACATATGAAAACTCACAGAAACAGATGACTCCAGTTCCACACATCCATCTTAGTTTGGGCTCATTTATATCAAATTTGAGTTTCTGAAGAAGCTTATCACTCAAAGAATGTATTTTAGTATGAGAAATTGTTACTGTTCATCTCTTGGTCAATGTCAAGAGAAAAAGTGGTGAACTATATATAGACTATGAAGTGAAAATTGCATGCCATCACCAATAAGATCATGAAAGAGACGCATAGAAGAGCACTAATAATCTAATATTCATTGAAATACAAATCTCGTCTGATAGACAGTGAAGACCTTAATTTGGTTCCGGAATCAACTCTGATATGGTGACCACAAAGGCCACCAGTTGAAAAACGTGATAAAGCCAAATTTCAAGCAAAGTGTCCTCACTAATAGCCTAATAAGAAACTTCTCAGCACATTACGCGTCAGAGCTCAAGGAAGACACTTAAATCAAATGAAGGGTTGTTCTCATTTGGAGAATATGTTAATTTTCTTCTGGTAATAATTTTAGAAAACATAGGTTTTCTTTTCCAGGCAATTATTTTAATGAATCAATTGGGGTTTCAAGAACTGATTAAATGAGTTCAATTTGGTTTCAAGTTCAGCAAATGAGAGCATTCATTCTGCTTTGGGTTCAGTTGAGTTCAAGTCCTGTGTTTAAAACAGATTAATAAAAATTGGAATAATTTTATTTTCATGCCCTTTACTTCCCTCGTCCTTCCTTCCACTTTTCTCTCCCAAACATCTGTGAATCCCTGTCTTTTGATCTCATGAACTTTTCCGTACTGGATATTAACTTCTCTCCCCTTACAAAGTGAATTTATTCTCAGCTGTCTGCATCCTCATAAGGGTTACTGGAATAGTGTTCCCTCCTTCACACAACTGGGATATTGATATACCAGGAAGGTATTACTTTTATTTATGCCTTCACTCTCATTAAACTAAGCTACCACATATGAACATCTTCCTGATAGCATACGCACGGAACCAAAACGGTAAACATTTTGTAGACAATGCTCTCTCAAAATATAAAATGCCCAGAGCAATGCTCAACTGAGAACATGTACAGAGTTAAAAGACTGAAAAAATGGTACATCAATAAAGATTTCCCAAGTAACCACTTGGAGATGGACAACTTGTAAGATCAATGATAGAAATGGTAATATGGAGAAGAAATGATTTATTTCTTTAAAATTTTCATATTGCAGTATAAATTGATATTAGTATCATATCAACTCGTGGAAGATACGGTTTCTTCCTAGACTTGTAATGAAGTTCCAGTTCCTTCTTACCTGTTATAGTGGCTTTGTTGATGGATGGTTGGTTGCACATGGGTGATCTTCTGACAAAGACAGAAAAATACAAAGCAGTAAATATGGGGTGCTTGTTGATTTGAGTACTATCTGAGTCATTTCAGACATGGCATTTTACTCTAAAGAATTATTTTTAGGTTAGGACATGCAAATGAAGAGTTCTTTCAGACTAGCCTGTCAAGTTCCTAGGCGCTCGCTGTACTATGGTTCAGATCACACATGTCAAAAAAGAAAACTGCTAAATCTCATGGTGATTGACTATGGTGTAAATAAAGCTAATGTAAATGCCACAGGGATATGATAGAAGAATAAATTCTTATTGATTGACTATATTCAATTAAACCAGGACTCACAGACCAAACACAGACTTTGAAAAAGTAGTCAGTCTAAAACTGTTTTCCCAGTACAGTGTTAAGAAATTTATTTTGGACATAAATTCTCATGATGGCCTATACATTATCAGAAGTGAATGACTCATGGTAAACTATCTTAAAATTAGAGCAACTATTTTGACTTTTCCTTTCTATTTTCTTTAAGAAACATCTCTGTTATATGTGTTAGAGATGTATATTAATGACTTGTCTAAATAGGTGCTATAGAAACATTAGACATACAATAAACCAAGCTTATTTAAATAAATTCTATCTTGAATTCTTCTCTAAGTTTTCAGTTGCTTGCCAAGTTTCACAAGATGATTACAAACCCCTTGAGGTTATCAAAACATGCTATCTGATTAACTTGTATTTCCTACAGGGCCCAGCACAATGTATCCAGGATTCAATAAGTGCTTAGTAAATTGTGTTGAAAACAATATCACTTACGGAATACCCATTACAATTTTTTGAAATATAATTTTGTAAAGTTGTTGCTTATGATTGGTAGCTTTTAAGACAGAGTGAAGTGATCGTTAACAACACGTTTAGATGTATTCAAGGATGTCTGCAAAATACTTGAGGGTTTTTGTGTGTGTGTATTTGCTCCTACTAGTGGCCAACAATAAGCACTTACCGTGTGTCAGACACTATGCTAGATGAGCACTTTAAATGAAATGTCTCCCTTAATCCCCACAATAAGCCTTAAGACAGGTAGTTTCATTGTTCTCATTTTACCAAGGAGGGAAGCAAAACTTTGAAAGTTGAAAAACGTCTTCCAAGTAAGGAAGCTAAGACTTGTACAAAAGCAATGTGATTCTAGGGCTCTGCTGCCTTATTTTTAGGATGCTTTTATGGAACCTGAATGGACAGCTTCCCGTAAGTGCAGGTGATGGCAGGCTCTTCAAATCTGCCTTGCTGAGATGAGGAATCTCTCAGCAGGCTTGGGGGGAACAGTCGGGAATTTTGCAAATTCTTGCTGGTCCTACACAGCCTCGGCTCCCCTTCATTGCTCTTCAGTTGATTGGTATCAGTTTGGGATTAAAATTTTATATTTGATTGAACATGTACCAAAATTTACTTCTGAATTATTTTAGTTTATTACTATTAAATTAAAAGGGAGGTATTTGGACTCCATAAGACCAAAAGGGTAATGTTTTCAACTGCTGCTCTGAAATAGCTCTGGTTTATATACTAGTAGTTTTCTTCTTGCTGCAAGTTTCTTATTCAAATAATTGATATATTGATTACTCCTTTTCAGTCCTTGCTCTGTTAAAATGTACAAAATAATGATTTTTATCTGGGAAAGGTAGCAAATGAATATTCTTACACTCTTCTATAGTTTTTGAAAACCAAGTGGTTGACTTGTTACTAATTATTTTCTCTTAATATCAATACTAAAACTCACTGGCGCTCAGGAATTTAACATCACAACAAACAGAAAATATTAATCCTTTAACCCATGGCTGCATCGATCCCTCATTTACAGATGAATGAGTCAGAACTCACTTCTGGAATGAAAAAAATCTCAAGGGCAAAAAAGAACAAGGTGATAGGAACCAGTCGTGTGTTTACCAGTCAGCAACATGCAGCTGAACACCCACCAGCGGTTGGGCTTTGAGTGCATTCTTCCTAGACTTATTTCCTACAGCAGGTAGAAAGTGTGGATTGCTCAGGGTAGCACATGCTTTCCACAAAAATTCAAAGGTGAGCTCAGAAATGTTCTAGAGGCACTGTTGAGTGCCCAGCAGAGAAAATTCTGATTCCTCAAGGGTCATCATGTGATGTGTCAGAATTACATCCACTTTGCTCTCGTTGAACAGAACAGAGTTTAGCTGTATGTAGACAATCCTACTATTCTGATACCCAAGAATGCTGATTTGGTTTGAATTAGTAAAGGAAATGCAAATCGGCATTGACCAAAAAGGAGACCACACTGGCCTTTCCTCAGAGTCTAGCAGATAATATTGTTTGGTTAGCTGTCACCCTGGGCATTGGCAAGACAGGCAGGAGTGTAGGTGTAAGCTATGATTTTTGTCCTCTAGCTCCTCCTTTCTATTTTAATCTGTTCTGTTTCTGTAAATCAGTTGAAAACTTTTGTCTTGCGAGACATAAAAGTAACTACTATAAAATTTTATATACTTAAATAACTTACAGTTTCAAATAAATATATGTTTGCTTGTGTATATATATGTATATATATATATATATATATATGAGTGTGTGTGTGTGTGTACACACATACATAAATATACATACAATTTTTTTTTTTTTTTTTTAGTTGGAGGCTAACTCTGTCACATAGACTGTAGTATAGTGGCACACTCATGGCCACCCCAGTGTCGACCCGCTGGACTCTGGCGATCTTTCCACCTCAGGCTTCCAAGTAGCCGGAACTATAGACGTGTGCTACCATGCCCGACTAGTTTTTGATTTACTGTAGAGACGAGGTCTCACCAAGTTGCCCGGGCTGTCTTGAACCCATGGGCTCAGGCAAGCCACTCACCTCAGCATCCCAAAGTGCTGGGATTACAGGCTGAGCCACCAAGCCCAGCCCATTTTTTTTTTTTTTTTTTTTGAGTCAGGGTCTCACTCCGTCACCCAGGCCAGAGTGCAGTGGCACAATCGTGGTTCACCAGAGCCTTAACTTCCTGGGCTCAGGCAATCCTTCAGTCTAAGTCTTCTGAGTAGTTGGGATTATAGGTATGCACCCCCATACCCAGATAATTTTTTAATTTTTTGTAGAGACGGGATCTAGTTGTGCTGCTCAGGCTGGTCTCCATCTTCTGGGCTCAAGCAATCCTCCCGCCTCATCCTTCCAAAGTTCTGGGATTACAGGAATGAGTCGCCAAGCTCGGTCCTAATAAATTTGTATTTACTGTCCTCTGAATATGGGCTTAAATGTTTTTTCTTCTAGAAAATTCCTTGGAGTTGAATTTTAATGATATTTTATCTATTATTAATAATAGGCTTTTAAAAAAGAATGGACATTGAATAATAGGAATTCACTTTCCATTTATTCCTGGAAAATTACTTTTCTTTTTTTAGATTTTTTCACCTCTGTCAGGATTCTCAAATTATAATCATTTTCCATTTCAGCTTTCCCTCTTTCAAATGCTTTCAAATGTTGTCACCTAAGTCAAATTTTATTAATTGCTACATGAATGCTGCTGCTCTGAGAGTCAGTATCAGCAGGAGAATCAAAGATATTTGCTATAACATGGTGCTTCTTCAAATAATTGTTGTCTTAAGAGGATGACTTTGAGTTGACTTTATGGTTTGATGAGATTATTTGCCCATGGTTAATTTATGAAGTAAGCCAAAACGATAAAGTTACCCTGAGTGTAACTAACTAGGCAGAGGGCTGATCATGCCAGGTGATTTCTGACAGATGGAATCACCATATTTATTTGTCATACTGCTTCATTTCTGATATTAGAACCATCACTACAAAGTATTTATAGAAAATTAGCAGGACATCATATGACTTAGTATACATGGTTAGATAACAGCACAGAGAAGTGGAACGTATTGCTCTGAGTTCAATCAAGTTGAGAAAACAATAAGATTTCAATAAAAAGGAGGAGAAAAAGGAATATCTTACTTGCTAGGTGCTCGATCTTGCAAATTAGTTAATGCAGCAAAGTTGTTTCGTACAGTTCGCAGGCTGGCCAAGACCTACAACAAAAAAGGATTCTTTACACTTCTTGAACTAGGGTCATTTGAAATACAATTAAAAATGGTTTGCTAAGAGAAAACTTGATATTAATTGCAACTCAGTTTTATCTACCACTAAAGATTCTCCCAGCACTTGGTGAAGTTTACATGTATCCCTATGAAATCCAAAGAGGCCAGACTGCAAGGATTTTCCAGAAATCTCTCTTCGTTGCCTGTGAATATGATGACAGTAGCAGCAGTTTCCACGATATTCCTGGATTCCTTCATTACCAAGACAATATCCTAGGCAATACACATATAGCATTGTCGCACTTTATGCAAATTTGAAATAATGTAATATAAAATACTAATAAAATCTCACTTTAGGGGTAAAAAAAATACCCCCTATTTGCTCCCAAATTCTCTTCAAAAATTCACCAAGAATCCCGTAATTTCAAGTCAGCAAGCAAAGTGAATTGTGAATTGTTTTTCCACCTTTGCCACAAGGCTACCCTAGCTAGTGAACAGACATTCTTTTCCTGTGTTAAGGTCATCTGAACTGTGGATTACAAGAAGCCCCAGGCATGCATTTCTCATGTCAAACGCTACTGTCCTGCATGTGCTCAGTGCCTGGCACACAGAAGATACTCAGTAAAAACTTGTTGAATAAATGATACACAGATACAACATGCCCACACACATGACAAGGCAGGACCCACGGGTGCCACTATCTCTGAGAGCCCCTTCCTTTTTCTATTTCCAATTGGAACTAGAAAGTGGTCAAAAAACTGGAAATGATCCTAGTAGAGAGAAGTTACAAGAGCCACTGTTCCTTCTTCCCTCCTTCCTTTCTCCTAGAATGGGCCATTTTCCCCAGGGAAGAACCTAGGTTAGGTGGGACTACAGGTGATCTGGGTGACAACTAGAATGCTAAGTTTATCTACAACATAGATTTCAAATATCCTAGTAGGACTGCCTGGCTCTGTTATGTACCAAATGTGCAAACTTGGACAAGTTACCTAACCTCTTTGTACCTCAGCTTCCTCATCTGGAAAACTGGGATGATGGTGAGATCTGCCTCAAAGGCTTGTTGTGAGGATTATATGAAATGACAGGTTTGCTGCCAAGAACAATGCCTGGCAAATAGAACGCATGTGGTGAATACTAGCCCATTATGGCAGCATTGCATTTGATTAGTGCTTCGGCATACACAGGGGGAGTGCACGTAATGCCTAGCGTTGGTAAGACAACAGAACCCCGAATTTTAATTGCTTCAAGGGTTCCAGAACGGGTTTCAGAATTTTTTCATCTAGCACAGACCTGGCCTAAAGTCAGTTTTAATTTTTTCCCAAGACAAACATGTCTCAGACTCCTTTTTATTTTCATTGTTGAAATTGACATTAATTTGCGTAAGCCAATGAGGAGCTGTTTATGCTTTGGGACACTGACCTACAGCATTTTCCTCTCAAGGAGTTAACGGTGCTTCCTAAGAAGCCAACCATGATTAACTCAGTCACTGGAAAAACCTGGCTCATTACCACATATAAACAACTCACAGCTCTGAAAGGTCAGGCTGCCTGTGATGGAGTATTCAAATCGCTAACTGCTGACGTCAGAGCACGATGTCTTTCATTAGGCATGAAATCTTGAATGATGCAGAAGTAAATCGGATAAATGATCCACTGTCCTTAAATCATGCAAGCTTAATTGATGTTTTAGGCAGTGAATATCAAACATACTAATGAAGTATTTAAAATAAGATTATTGCACCAGCGAATCGATTCCTTTCCTAGGCAAAAAGTTTAACTCCAGAATTCAGATAATTTTATTCTAATACATTCTAGTTAAGTCCACTGCATTTGACAGCTGGGTAAATAGAAATTGTCCTGCAGGTAACTTATGTTCTATGCTCATTTGAAAAAAAAAAAATCAGTCATGAAAGAAAATGTTATTTCATAAAAGTAAATTGTCTGTAGAGAGGTTTTTGCCTCTGTTGTAATAGACATTTAATATAATACATACTATAATTTTATATTGTTTTGTTTTTTATTTATATTTTATTTATTTTTGTTTAGCACATATCTTCACATGGTATCGAATTTAAACAAAACAAAAGGATATAAAGCAAATGTTTCTCTTTTAATAGTCAAATGAAAATCAAAATTTTGATTATTTCTGAGAGGAGGCAATGGCAGCAGATGACATTGGACAGCGATCACCAGGGGGCATTAAAAATACTGGTGCTGTCTTCTAGCTCTTAAACTGTTCATTTTATTCTTCTTCTTTATACCTAATCACTAGATATTTTCTCTGACATGTGTGAAATATTTCAAAATAAAAAGGGAAAAGAAATCTTCCTTCCAGCCTCCCCTTCAGGCATTCAGTTTGCCTGTCCTCTACCATGTGACTTTTAGGTTGTCCATCTTAAACCTGGTTTTTACAAACACTGCTGCAGTCAATAACCTTATAGACACATCATTCCTCTGTGTGCGTAAGTATTAGGTTATTTGGCGGGGGAAGAGAACAAACAGTATTGTATACATTTTATGTTCAGTGTTAACTATTACCTTCTTTTAAGACAGAAAACTCTTATAACGGGGTATTGCCTTGGGCCTCGCTGAATGACTCTAGATGTCATCATCACAGTACACCTGCATTAGTATTTTAAGCTCTCACTTGCACTTTAGGACACACAAGGGAGGTGTTTGTTATCACAGACTGGTGGGGAGAACTAGAAACCGTTTTACGGAAGATCCTGAGTTTAGGCTCTATTGTTCTTTGCTTTTGTTCTAGGGAAACTCTCACTCCCTCTGAATTCAACTCCTTATGAACTGTAGTCAAAGCTTTTAATGCTCCTATATTTTTCTCCACTACGTCAATGCTTCCTAACCAAAAAGTTCCCTAAAGTTTCTTCCACATAGCTCAAGGAGTAGGAAATTAAGGGTCATTTCATTCTCCAAGCAAAAATGAAATTAGTCAAAGTCAAAAGTACCTTAGGAATAACGAGCACTACATACAAGAAAGGAAAACCAGTAGTGCCACAGAAACATTTTAGACAAATAATGGTTCATATATTAGTCCAAGAGGCATTCGATGTTATTTATATACACTGTTCTCAGACTAAGTGCTTCTAAACATTTACTAACCAATAGGAATCACTGAAAACAGCAGAAAAATTGCAGACTTCTTTAAACACTTAAACAGCTGAACAAAGTAGCCTTAAAAAAAAAAGAGGGAAAGAATTGATTTTGAGGTTTTTTCATATATCATATACCCTTGGTGCCACTAGATGGCGGTAAAACACAGGCCACAAGTTGCCACTGGTGGCGAGGTGGGGGCAAGAGGGGAGGTACACAGACACAGGGGATTCATTGCCTCTGGTTTTACCTCCAGAAAAAAAAAAAAAAAAAATTGGAGTCAAGTTATGATTATTCACAATATAAAAAGGTCGTTTTTATGATAAGATAACCTCTTTCCAAATCATGTTCTGTTTAAACCGAATGCTAACTGCTGGCTTTGTACACCAAAACTGTTGAATATTGACAATTTCATATGGGTCCATTTAAAAAATATCTTAGACACCAGATGATGCTAGTTGTAATTTAAATTAATGAAGGCTAAGTAAAAACTAAAAAATAGAACCAACTGAAATGAGATGGCTCTCTTCTTTTCTATCCCTGCAGGGAGGGCCTCGTGACTTCAGCAAGCTTGGGGATCGTGAGGAGGCTGTAAGATTGCTGCTGCTGGGTGCAATGGGTGAGAGCCAGGTAGGAACATTGAACGAATATCGGTAATATTCGATTACCAGTGAAGTGTTAAATGTTCTATGGTGTTAACAACTACTGCATATTTTTCTTGAAGTATCCCAAGTTCTGTATTTTGGCTAAAGGCAAAAAGATGCGGTTGTTCCTATCCTGTATTTTCAAGCCAGGCACAGCTCCTTAGTTTGAAGGAGGTGAGTGTCTCCCCAGAAATCCAGGATGTTTCCTATTTTCCCTTTCATCAAACGTTTCACTTCTTTTAACACTCCATATGAGAATTCTAATCAACTTAGAGTGTTACAAGGTGGTTGTGTCACAAATATGGGACCAATGGGACCAGAAGCAGCTGGCTACAGAGAAAGGTTTTCCACATTTTGCCAGTTTTGTGCCTCCTTGGTGCACCCTGACCCCAAAGAACCCTGGCAAGGAAAAAGGCCAGCTGCCAAGCGTATACCCCAGTGGGATTCCTCTCCCCACCCAGCCTAACGAAATACCCACACCAAAAGATTTCAACACAAATGTAAGAGACTATTTTAAAATTAAAACCAAAAAAATATTTAAAGATGTAACTCTGGGGGGAGGAGCGGTCAACGGGATTCTGAGTTTATAAGGGAAAGCAGCAGAAATCAGAAGTAGAAAAGAGTTCAGGTTAAATACCAGAGAGAATGCCTAGCACTGGCAGTATTTTAGACAATGGAGTAGAATATGGAGAGATAGTGCAGGATCGTTTCTACAAATTATGTCTATCCAAGATGGTTTAGGCTTTAGCCCGGCCAACAAAGTGTGACGTATCTTTGCATGAATTTCTAAATTCTCTTGTAATGTAGGATTTTGTTCTCTTTGTTTCAAAAGAAACCATGATTTGGAAAGATCTGGGAGGGATCCTTTGACGTTTTGGAGATGCACTCAGGCATAAAGAAATGGGTTCTCAAGAAGAGGCAGAAGATGAAATGGGAGAGAAACTTTGACCACTTGAAACAGTGGTGGGCCATTTTAGGAGTCCTGGGAAAGAAAGTACACACAGAAAAATAAATCTACAGGCAAGTGAAGGAAAATGTTAATGGTAGTTATTTGGGGGTATGGGGTTATGGAAAATTTTCTTTTCCTTCTTTTTGCTTATTATTTGCTTTTCCAAACTTTTTATGCAAAAAGTTTTATTTTGAGAACAGTATGGATTTTTCACCAGAATTTAGCAGGAAATTCTAAACTCCAAAGCATGCTAAGGGATCGATTTTTTGGCCAACTTCGCTGAATATTTTTTTGAGTGATTTTCTAAAATCAGCTGTTTTCTGTCCATAGACAATAGCAATTATGATATATTAGGCCAAATTAGGTTGGTATTACTTCATCTTATATTTTTGGCATTCAATATTTACCATTAAATGGTAAGTAATCTAGCTTGTATTTTTTTTTTTTTAAATGAAGAGTTAGTGGTTAGGTCAACAAAACATGCTAACTGTGCACAGTAGGGCTTAAGAGAAGGCCACAGACAAACTGATGCTGACTGGGCTTTCTGTCTTACCTGGCTCCCCAAAGATGCTTATCAGTGGTGAGATTCTTCAGGGTTTAACATTAATTTAACATGGGCATGAGGTAGGTTTAAAGCCTCATTAGTGTTGTTTTTTGTTTGTTTTTTTGTTTTTTAATTCTAGTAGGACTTTTGAGATCATATTCCCAGTAAAAGGTCATTTATGAAAACTTTGATGAAGCTACTTAAAAAGAATCTGTAGTCTCTGGGGTGATGACTACCTTCTGAAAGGTGCTATGACTCTTCTAAACACAGTACAAAATTATTTTCGGGCATCAGATATACCTGTATATTACACAAAGTTGGTTCATATTTAAAGCTCCAATTTCAAGGGTATTGAGTACACATTTTGTATATGAATGACTTACTAGTATAGATTAAATGATATTTTACATATAAGCATACATATATTTCCCAGTATATTGAAATTCTATTAGGTTTTTTTTGAGATTATAGTTACAGTACAGAAAATGTCTAATGTTAAAGACTATATTTCCCTAAAATTTAAGAGCAGTGATGGCAGGAACCAAGTCAAATTTATTAATTTATTTGCTGGAGAGAAATAACTACTACTTGAAATAAGACAAAATAACATTTACAGAATTTTTTCATTTTAAATTATATATACAGATATATTTTTTCTTACAATAAAACCTAGATATTTTAGTTGGAAACAAGAATAGCTACCTGAATAAACTCAAATCGGAAGGACCGGACCATTAGTTTCATGTTTGGTGATGGCTATATAGTATTGCCTTATTTTATCTGTTCACCTAGCTCTTGGTGCTTAGATATAGAATTACACAAAAGTAACCAATTAAAAGTTCCTGTTTTTATAAGATTTTAGTGTCTCATAAGATGATTAAAGCATATTAAGTGTAAAATTTTTGGATATAGAAACATAACTATTAGAAGGAATTAATGATCTCCAGCAAAACCTTACGCAAACGAGACATTTACCATCTGAAAAGAATAGTAATCATAGTCTACTTATAATTGCCAGCATTAATTTTTTAAAAATCACTATTACATAGTATATTATTTATATTTATTTATTCACATAATTTATGGATTGGTTTCATTTTTATCTAAACTATAGCGACAAGAAAATTTTAAAAAGGAGAACTATACGTAATCCCACTATCTAACCACTGCTATTATTCATTTTTCAAAAATAATACTTTTTATGACATTTTTAAGATCCAAGAGCAATTTTATCTCTATATAATTAAACAAATAACAAAGCTTATTAAATCTTATATTTTCTAGAAGTTCATTGTGCTGAGCATTTTACAAGCCTGGCATTATTATTTCAATCTCTTAACAACTCTTTGAGGTGACTACTCTTGGAATTGCCATTTAACAGAGGAGGAAGTCAGGTGTGGAAAGTTCAGTGACTCCTTCAAGGCCGTTCCCTTAGCAACAGTGAAAAGGTTTTAACTGTGGGCCAATTGCTCTTCGTCTAGCCCATCCCCTGATTTTACCGATTGGAAAAGAGAGCCCAGAGAACTGGAATGAGGTGTCCAAGGTGCTGCAGCTATTTATGACACGGCCCTGATTGCAATTTTTATAATCTCTCAGGATTACTTGTATTTCAATACCTAACATTTCTTATCAGTCAGTGGTGGCTTTAAACCTACCTCATGCCCATGTTAAATTAGTGTTATCCCATTTCATCCCTAGCTGTCTGTATCAGGGGCTTTCAACTTTTCCTGCACACTGGAAAATACTAAGGACCTTAAAAAATACAGAGGCTTGGATCTGATCTCCAGATATTTGGAACTAATTAACCTGAGGTGAAGATGGGGCATTGGGGTAAGAGCTCTCTAGATGGATCTAAAGTGCAGCTATGTTAAGAAGCCCTAGTCTACACACAGAACACTCAGTTATTAACTCTTTTATATCTATTCCAAACACTTTAGGTCATTTTATCACCATCTTGCATCTATGTCACATGGTTATAGTAGTTTCATGATTTGAATACCTAAAAGGAACAAATCAACATAAACATATCACTCAGCTAAATCTTTGTACAAATAACATATGTAAATAAGGTATCAGGTTGAATGGGAATATTAAATTTCAAGCACTAATCGTGTACCTAATTATACTAAACATAATTTGATCCGTTATGTGGCCTTCTGCTCCTAGTGCTTCTGTCAGTTAAGGAAATATGGGCCCAATTAAGTATATCCCTTAGGTAATTTGTCATTTGAAGCAAGGACACTTTAAGGGCCTATAGGTTTATAGGAAACAAATCAGTAAGGCCAAAGTCAGATACTCTAGCATCGCCTTTGCATTGCTTGAATGAACCACAGAATTTGTATTTACACTGTGATTGATTTAAAATTAAATTAAATTAAGAACCAGAACTAATCCCCCCAAATTAAATGTTCAAATCTGCGAGGAACCTGCCCCTTCACCAAGCTGTGCTTACCTGAGCAAATGGAGTCACAATCAAGTCATCTCCATGTCTGAAAAATAAACCAAATCCTGTGTTAGAAGTCACCAATAACTCTATGCCCACTTTTGATTAACATCAAATGGCAAGTTCCACTTTCACAAATTCCCATAGAGAATTACAGTAATTCCATCCTTATTCTTCAGCCCATGTTCTTCCCAGCAACTGGGTTAAAAATATGTCTTCTCAAACGTTAACCATTTTCCAGCGCCCTGGATGAAAAGAGGGGCTTCTTGATCCAAGGTCATTGTTGCTTTTTTGAGCACACAGGATCTATGCAAGAGTAGAAACAGAGTTCCAAGCAGTGGGGTCGAGTTTTACTTTTGGCCTCTTATTGCAGATATTAGTGAGAGGTCCTGTGGAAGGAACCAGCAACGGCAGTGGCTTCAGTGAGACAACTCTGGGCCATCTAACATTTGAAGGTGATTAGCATGGAGTCTCTGCATCATCCTGTGTAAGTCTTGGACAGGCTGGGAACTGTAGATGACATGGGACTGCATCAGACACTAATAAAAACCCAGTGAAACTTTCAACTGACTCACATCCCAGCCACTGTAGTTGCAGAGGAATGTTACTCCGTGTGTGCTGTTGCTGCAGCAACCTCAGCTACACGGTGCCCGGGATATAGCAGCAAGGTGTCAGCATGACGTGTCTTGAAGGGACAGGGAAAGACGAGGAAAGTTGTGCAACATTCTACTTAGAGGAGGGTGAGAAACTGGGGCTCGGGGTTTTTTTGTGGTATTTCTTAGCGTGAATAATTCGAGACAAGGATTTCCAGAATCTCCAATGGGCTGTTTCTTGATCAAGCTAGCCCAAGCTCTTTAATCAAGAGTGAATGTAGTTATTCTACACACCCTTGTAGAATGTGGAAATGACCTGCACTGAGAACCATGCAGCTAGATTGTTCACTCACTCACTCCGAAAAGGACTCGGGTGACCCAAAACAACACTCATAAAATACACTGTGGCACTAAGAGCATAAAGATGATGTTAGGAAAGAAACTGTCACTGATAATTAGAATAGTTGTTACGGTCTTCATCAAATCATGTAGAGATCTTGAAAATAAAAATGTGGAAAATGAAAGCAGAAAAAGATAAAAACACACTGTAAACATGCTATTTGTACACGTGCTATTTGTACTCCTCTTAATTCTAAAATCACATTTTTCAAGGGGCACCAACTCTTTGTAGACATTATTCGTAGACTCCTAGAGTCTAAGAAGACTGGACATTGAGTTTTATGAGCATTTTATAGAGGGGGCAATTGAGGTTCAGAGAGGGCATAAGGTCTAAAAACTAATAAATGGGTAGAGGGAGGATGTCAATCAAAAAAGGTCACCCAAGGCCAAGCCCAGAAAAGCTCTTTCCTAGAAAAATGGCCCACAGAGGGAGCAGGCCTGTTGTCCCGGATCTGTAAGGAGGCCATTGTGCCTGAGGGAGCCAGTGAGGGGGGACAAGTTAAGGAGCCAGAGCGGCCACCTGGGTGAGAACACGATGCTCACAAGTGACAATGAGTAGCCCAGTGATTCTCAGAATAACAGGCAAAGCAGGAGATCCAATGGCAGTGGCTGAGAGTGGGTCAGGCAGCAGGCCATGGGCCCTTTGTACCACACATTAAAGAACTCAGATTTTACTCTCTGATAGAAGTTTGGGTTAGAATTTCATCTCTGTCACAAACTAGGTATGTTAACTTGTGCAAGTTAAGAAACCTCTCTTTCTCTTAGTCCCTTCATCTGTAAAATAGATACACACATATGGTGTTGTTTTGGAATTCAATAAGTTAATCACGCTAAGTGTTGTAAATGTAAATGTTCAATAAACATTAGCTATGGTAATTAGTAGTAGTAGTAACTATTTTTCTAACGTAATGACTTTTGCCTTCCTATGCAGCCAGGAAATTGCAAAGACTCAGAAAATTGATACTTAGTTAAGGACTCTTGAGCCCTTGAGACAGGTCTGCAAAGGACCGAAGGCCTTGAAAGGGCAAAACTGAAAGCAGGGCTGGGCATGGTGGTTCGAGCCTGTAATCCCAGCTACTCAAGAGGCTGAGGCAGGAGATTGTTTGACTCAGGAGTTCAAGACGAGCCTCAGCAACATATCAAGAACTTGTGTCTAAAAATATATGATTAAGAATATTTTTTGAATTTAAAAAAAAAAACAAGCAAAATAGAAGCCAGAAGACCAACTGAGAGAGTAGAGAAGAGGAAGGCTAAACAACATCAGTGGTATTTGAGAGAGAGGGAAGAGGACAACATTAAGGATGCTGGTCTGGGTGCAATGACTCGTGCCTATGATCCCAGCACTTCAGAAGGCCGAAAGGCCAAGGTGGGAGGATTGCTTGAGCCCAGGAGTTCACCACCAGTTTGGGCAATATGAGAGACCTGGTCTCTAAAAATTAAAAAAATTAAAAATTTAAAAAATAATTAGCTGAGGTTGGTGGTACACACCTGTATTCCCTGCTACTTGGGAGGCTAACAAGGAAGAAACTCCTGCTCCTAGGAGGTTGAGATTGCAGTGAACTGTGATCATGCCACTGTACTCCAGTCTGGACTATAGAGTGAGGCCCTACTTAAAAAAAAGGGGGGGGGGGGGAGAATCTGTAAAACAACCAATCAAACAAAAAAAAGATCTACGAAAAATGCCATGCTGCCACAGTGGTCTTTAAGGGGGAAAAAAAAGAAAAGAAAAATTCTAAACATTTACCAAAAGTGTTATCATGGTAGGTACTTTTTATACACAATATCACCAACTGTTACAACAGTGTTGTAAGCTAGGTGATATTACTCCCATTTTGCAGATAAGAAAATTGAGGTTCAAATTGGTTAAGAGATTAAACACAACAAGGTCACTCAGGTAGTAAGCTTCACGGCCACACCTGAGATGGGCCCCTCTTATAATTTTACTGGTTAACTCATACAGAACAGCTTTAAAATAGATTAAAAATAAGGTTCTAGGAAAATGGCAGAGAGAGAGAGAAGACAGAGAGAGATAGAGATAGAGACCCACAGAGACACAGACAGAAAGAGAGGCAGAGAGACAGAGACAGACATAGAGAGACAGATAGGAAGAGACAGAGACACAGACAGAGACAGAGACAGAGCGAGACAGAGAGAGAGAAAGAGATAGACAGAAACAGAGAGAGACAGAGAGAGACAGAGACCGGGAGCGGGGTGGAGAGAGAAAGAGAGAGAAGTAGTAGTTTTGACCAGGTAGTACAAGCACCTGCTCAAAACTAAATGGCAGATTTCAAACTGAGGCTCAGGGTTGGGTAGCTTTATTTCCTCTTTGATCTATCATTCTGACCTCACTTTCTGGCTGTTGATTAGAGGCAAAATGTAGGGCTACACTTTCTCTTACATACTTATTTTGAAACAGTAACCCAATTCCTGCAAAACAACTGAGAAATACAGATATGCTAGTGCTTAAAAGCAGGAGAACAAAATTCAGGGCTAAGCACTTCATCATTTGACCCAAACACACACATAAGGCACCTTAAGAGTTCATCTGAAGCCAAACATTCTTAAAAATGGCAAACAAGCCGGGCTCGGTGGCTCAGCCTGTAATCGCGCGCCTTTGGGAGGCTGAGGGGAGTGAATTGCCTGAG